CTTTTCACATATTACTTGGGACTGTAAATTCTCTGAAGGCTTCTCATGTTTTTTCTTTTAATGTAAATGGAAGTGTTGCTGAGCTTTAATCATCTGCAGGTCCTGGATGAAGCACCCCGTGCTTTAAAAAGGAAGCTGAATTATACAGGAGATCAAGAACTGAACTTTCCTTTTGTTCTTGAAGGGATTTGGAGGGAGGGAAAGGGTATATTTTAGATAATCACACAGTAGGTAAGAACGTATTATGCTTGTTACTACAGAGCAGGAATAAGCAAGTGTCACAACTGGATAGATACGTTAAGAGCAGAAGTTTGGGTTCTATTGACGATCAGGGAGTCCAGAGAAGGCTGCCAGCCTTTCAACTCTATTTTTCCTGAAAGATCTTTGCAGAAAAAGGACAAGGGCTGAAGAGAGCACTTGGGACTCCTGTGCAGGACAGCTGTGTAAATCAAGCCTTTCTTGCAAGTGATGATCGTCAGTGCTGCTGAAACTATTCTGTTTTCTAGGTAATTGCATGATTCTAGTTGCCGTTTGGTGCTGGGATCCTCTTTTGTTATTTTTTTGAATAGAAGTTGAGATCTGATCAGCTGATATGGTTGAACTTTTGATAAGTCACTGATGATTAGCATCTTTGCCTGTAAATAATTCTCTTTTTCTTCTTATACCAAGTAGAGATCCTCATTTCTAGTTGTTATGTTAGAGCAGGTGAAGAAGGTTTTTTTTTTAACAAGTTGATATTGCTTTGCTCTGTAAAGGAAGGGTTTGCTAATGAAAGAGTTACCGAATTAAGCAGTGCTTCCACCTGTCTTGGTGTGTGTTTGATCTGTTTTCAGTAGTTTTTCATTTTTCTGGTGTGGCACTGATAATAAATGGGGAAGTAAAAGAGACTGTAATTACTTGGCACTACTTAAAAAGGCATGTTTCTTCTTCGCTGTTGTGGGCTGTAATTTGTTGTAGGTATTGAATTTGTGTAATTAATAGCTTTTTGTCTGGGTCTCCCTCTTTGCTCAGTCAGGTGAGGTGTATGTGCACATGTGTGCATGTGCATAGTGCTGATGCCTGTTCTATAAGGATAAATTTACTTGTTTTCCCTTAAAAGCGGGACTTAGCCTGTTAACATACCTCGGTACTGATACTACGGAGCCTGGGAAAAAGTGAGGCACACACTGAGTGCAGGCAGGCTTGGACCTCAAGTCTCTCACTTGAGGGCTCTGTCTTCCTAGTTCTGGATCCAAAAGAGGAAAGAGAAGGAGGGGTATGGGTGGGCAGCAGAAGGGTTGGAACAGAGTGATCCAAAACTCTGCCTCCCTCTTTGAAGGCGGAGATATCTGCTTTTCAAGATCTAGGGACATAATCTTGTGTGATGGGAGTGTGAAACTTGACCACTTTATGGTAACAAGGACTATGTCCTGCTTTCAGTACCAAAAAGGCTGTGAAGAGGAATGTCCTGAAAAGAAGTCACACAGTCAGCTTTTAATTTTGAAAGACACTCTGTTATATTCTTGATGGCCTTGTTACAGGGAGGGAGGAAAACAGTAAGACAGTGAATGTGCCATCAGACACGCTGGAATATTGGATAGTGCTTCAGCACTGCGTACAGTGCTGCCTGCTAGTTCCCAAGCTGATCTCTTACATTTTGCATTTCATGTTACGCATTTTTAAGGTGGTAGCCTCCAAAATGTGATGGAGTCAAATGTGGAGCTAATCCTTTAGAGACTCATTCTTGAGTTACTTGTGAAAGAAGCAGATGTTGCAGATGTCTCTTACTCATCTTTTTTTTTTCTGACCTTTTTTATTGTGGGGTTTTGGTTTTTTTTCTTATGTGTGTGTCTCTTGCTGACTTTGTGGGGTGGTAAAAGCTGAAGGTTTGACACTAGCAGGAAGTTGATGTGGCATGAAAACACAGCGTAATACTTGCACTGTAAGATAAACACTGCTATCAGCTCCTATTTCAGCACTGTTCAACCTCTGTTCATCTGAATTTCTGCTCAGAGCTGTGTTAGAAGTCCCAGGGCTCTGTTGTCTGCGGTGGGGGAAGAGTCAGGCCTCCTTGTCCCTCACAGTGATGCTTGCAGTCTTCAAAAAGGTGTGTCGCAGCGTGGACAGATTATCACTGTCTCCTGAGGAACAGGATGAATTGTGTCCATAAGTCAGGGAATGGATTGGCTTTAAAAATCTGTGGGTTTATTTTATTCCCTCCACCAGTGTGTTATTAATTTAATTGCTCTTCAGTTTCTGAAGAATTTTGGAGGGGGCAGGGAGGGGGTGGAAAGATATATTTAAAGTGCCCTCGTCTTTAATTCGTGTCTTGTTCGTAATGGATTTTTACCAGCAGCACTTTGCAATCCAACTGCCATTTCTAAATGTCATTTACTTGAATAAAAAAATGTAATTATGTTTCTAAGTGTGACATAAGCACTGAAAGTAGTAACTGAATCATAAAGTGCTGTTTGAACAGCAGCTTTCCCATGACAGGAGAGAAAGTTTATGAAGTGCAGGGTATGCTGTAATACAAGCGTAGCAAAAGTACTCAAAATCACTTGTTTGCAGGTTTTCCCATCTCCCATTAAGCTTTTTATTAGGGAAATATCTACTTATAAATCCCCCATATTAAATAAAAGCAGGTGAACAATATTCGGTTATCTCATGTCCCCTGACATCGATTTGTGGTTTTGATTGAAATCAGTAAGCCAATGCTTCCCAGCTCTCCTTGAAGAATAGTTGTTCACACACCTGTTAACCATATGCCTTGGAAGGGGGTTTGTTGAACTTCAGTAGGTTTCTTTCAGGATTAATACCATCAAAAGTTTTTTCAGAAGACTGCTTGATTCAACTTAAAGGCTGATGAAGACCTCTCATCTTTTTGCCTTGTATTTCACATGTATTTCTGGTACTCCATCAAGCAAAGTATGTCATTTTAACAGATGGACCAGCTCTCACTTTTTACAGTCCCAGTTTGTTCAATTCAAAAGAGTGACCGTACACTTGGTTTAAGTAATGAAATGAAAATCTGCTGCATCTTCCTTTTGATACTATATGTTTAAATTGCTGTTAATGAATTTCATTTGAATCATCACTGGTTTTCATTCAAAAGCATGACAGTGTAAATCCAAAATACCCACTGATCCATGGGCTGAACAACATTTCTAAACCTTCAGGCTTCATTCTAGTTAGCAGAAGGTTCAGTTATTTACAGTCCACTGAGGTATTTTCGATGCTGATGCCTTTATCCTGAAGAAGAGAGAGAAAAAATTGCAGTGGCTTGATTCTGCCAGGACTGTCATCTGTTACTAATTCTGAGTTGTTGTTCTGTAGGTGGAAATTTGGGTGCTTACTGAGAACGTGCCTGTTGGTGTCCATCAGTAGTAACTGTGTGTGTGTGTGTGCTGTAAGTGGGAATGTCATGGTGTTTCCACGAGCTGTGCCATTTTCAAACCTTACAGCTGATGGTTTGCTGTCTGTTACTTGACATCAGTAATAAACGTTTCCTGCAGCTTCAGATTTTTGGTCTTTTTAGTTGTGCATGAACACGTGTCTTTTCCCTACTTGGCGTGTACAGGCATCACCCCTGGTCATGCCAGGTACACACAGGTTAGTGTGGCCCATGAGTAGAAGCTGACAGAAGACCTGTTCGTCATCAGGTTTTGTGTAAATGGGAACTAGCACCCCAGAAGCTTCTCCAATTACCTCTTTAAAGTTTATTAACACCTTTTCATTTACAGGTCTTAACCTGTTCATGGGAGAGATGAGGTCTGGGTCTTGCCTCTGCACAACTTGCTTATGACATCCTGTAATAAAACTTCTTCAAACAACAGAATATTGGGAGAGGCCAAGTATCAGCAATGCTCTGTATATATGCAGCAGTGCTTGTAAAAATGTATGCATAGCTGTTTATCTCGTAGCCACAGTTGGAATTCATATGTAACTCTTCAACTGGATAGTGGTCCACAGTGCATGGGCTTAACTTCCTTGGAAAATTTAAGCCCCTCTTAAATTTCCTGTTAAGCCAGGAGGGGCAGAAGTTCAGCTGACATAAAACTGTGCTGAATGTGTAATTCCCTTTGTGGACTCTCTGGACAAGAGTGATTTCAGCCTTCTCTGGGGATACCTTTATAAAAAGTTGAGTTCTTTTAAAGTTTTGTACTAAATCAATAAGTAAGTTAATAATAGAGCAGCTGTTGATCATAAACTCTGGGAATTTCCTATACTCAAATTTCAGCCAGAGGATAAGTTTCTCACTTAGGGAGCAGATATTGCCTTTGTCAACTATTCAGTCTCCAGACCTCTCTCAATTCTAGGTTTTCTTATCAACAAAAGACAACCAAAACCTTCCCTAATCCTGCCTGTAATGCCAAGAGAGCGACAGAAATGTGTCCTGGTTTAGGTCTGTGAAGAACGATGAGAGCGCACCCCCTTTGTGATGATCTTTTGAACTTTCTACCAAATCCCCAGGGAGGAGAAAGCCAGAGTTTTAAATTGACCCTAGACTTAACCAAATGGAGGCAGGAACATTCCTTTTATTCCCTAGGCAGTCCTATGATGCTTAGTCAGCTGATATTGCCTTATATGGCCCATTTGTAGTCTACAACTCCCAGGAACCCCTGGTCTTTAAAACCTTGACTTAGTGACAAAGTAATGGTGATACAGGTGTCTGGATCAGTACATCCTGAAGAAAAAAAAAATTGTTATTGGATAGCTGCTTTGATATCAGTCTTCCTGTGACTCCATTGTAACTATATATCTAGCCTTCATTGTGTGGAGGAAAGCTTGGAAATGTGAACCATATGCACTCAAAACCGTAGAAACTTGAAAAACTAAATATATTAAGGATATATATTAAGTATATAAAAATATACTTGCCTTTCACATTTTGTGTTTTGTGTTTTATTTGGACTGGCATGGTACTTGGATGATTTTTCTTTTTGTAAGAAAACAAATAGAAACAAGCATTGCAAAACAGTGACAAAATTTTTTCCTCTCTGTTTTTATCCCTATTTTAGGAAGGCATGAGGTGCGGTCCTGGGCAACAGCCACCAAGCAGTCTTTGTGTCTCATGTGGCAAAAAGTGAAAGTGCAGCTAATGCTAAGCATGTCTTTCCTTGTTGCTGTTTCTTGGTATTGCAGAAGGCTATACAGCTTTTTAGCACAGCTACTGAAACGGTAGGTTTTTATTATGCAGACTTTAATCTTCATGCTGTTGCTTATTTCAGTAAATATTGACCTTTGACAACTCCCCTTTGACACCTGTTTTATCATTTGGATTTCAGGTGGAGCAACTACCTTCAAAGAAAACTCATAAGTAATCTTTCTGTTGTTATACTGTATTCCTTAACCCCCCCCACCACTGCTACCCTTTAGAGGCAGAACAGCAGAAGGTAACTAATCTGTGTATTAATTTTGATTTAGGGAATCTCAGTGTGCTAACAGAAGTTGATCTACTTGGTTACAGTGCGAGAGAATGGAAAGGAGAAACAAAGCATGCCAAACACATGAGGGAGGTAAGAGTTAAATTTTAATCTCTGCATGAGGACAGGCAGAAGATATACCTGGGAAGGGAAGAGCACTCCCAGTGCATGCAGCTGCTGGCAGCTACCAGAGCCAGCTGGCCAAATGGAAAGTGAAGGGGACAGCATGAACATGGGTCTAAATAAAGACTAGACTAGAGCAGGCAAAAATGTAGATTAGGTTTTAGTCGTGCATCTTCTCCGAATTCCCCCTGTAGCACCACCAACCCACGCAGCGGCTTTTAACAGGATCATCTCCAGTGCTACAGCCCAAATAACGTGGTCATAGGTGCTGTCACTTTTGCAGCCTTCTGATTTAAGGTAAAAAAACTCTCATTCCAGGGAGGAATGAAACACCACACCCATTTCTCTTCCAAGCTCTGAAGGTCCATGTGACAGCAGCCGGTACTTGGTGGCCCGCAGCAGTTGCAGAGGCCGCCTGGCCAGCCGGCTGCAGCTGGGGGCAGGCAGGGCAGGAGCTCACATCTGACCTGTGCCGGGTTAGGAGGTGCTCAGTGGGCGAGGAGCCGGTGTGCTGGGTGGTGGCCATCCCCTGCCTTCATGCAGCATCCATCTGCTCCACCTCTGCTCCCCTGGCCACCTGGCGCTGCCATGGCACTCCCTGGCCCAGGCTCTTCTGCGCTGCCATTCTGCCCTGTGCCAGGCACAGTGAGCAGGGCACACACAGGTTAACTATGCTTGGTAGTTCCTGCTGCCCTGTACCACACATAGCTAGGACTAAGAAGCTACTAATCTTACAGTTAATGTCCTTGTCATCCTCAGCATCCCAGTCAGCTGCTGAGGGGTGGCTGGGGACAGCCCTGGGCTGCATGGGGAGGTGGCAGTCTCCACTGCTTGTGGGCCTCAGCACTGCTCTTTTCCAAGTCTTTTTTTTTTTTTTAATTCTGTGGCTTTTATTCCTTTCCATGTAAGTTTTTTTTGTGTTTTACTTTTTTTTTCTTTTCTTTTTCCCTCCTCTTGTATCTTTGAGCTGCTAGCTGTGACCATCTTAATAATTATACTTCTCCCTGGATTTTTATTTCTCTTACCTTACATCCATTTACCTGAAACAGTTTCACACAGCTTAGTATGTTTTCTTCATAACTGTAAATCAAAGTGACAGAGTTGTGCTGCACCAAACCAGGCTTTGGATCACAGATAGCTGAACTCCTAAGCCTAGGATCTTCTCAATTCGTGGTTCATTATTGCTAGATACACTGTTTTCTGTCGGCTTACTGACATATTTTTCAGTTGTGTACACTGTGTGTATGTGCTTACACCTGATAGGCAGAAACAGCAGCTGCACTTCCTATAAAAGATGTATGTTATTGCTGATGCAACAGGCTGTTGCAGCTATACCTTTGTAGCCATTAATGGAGGCAGCATGGCCGGGGACATGGTGGGAGCAGCAGTGCATGCTGAAGGGCCCTGACCAGTGCTTGAAGTTGGAGTAGCACTATGGTATCCTAACGTGACAGGGATGGGCCTCCAGCAGTGACACGTGTTTTATGGCTTCCTGTTCCAGCTGTGTTAAGACTTAGTCACCAAGTTAGGCTCAAAGACCGTGGGCTGGATCTTTACTTTTCCCGTAAAACTTGTAGCTAATGTAGCTATACTGATGGTAGAGTAGTAGTATCTGTGAAAGCAACCTTAGGCTCAAATCCAGTCAATCAGCTAACTAACTGTGACATTATATCCTAGTGTCCTCATGGTGTGGCATTTCAGACCAGCACAGGACAAATGTAGCATCAAGTCCATATTTTTGATTATTTGATAATGCTGGGAACACTATCCATGATATGCAAGAGAGATCAAAAAGGCAGAGGTGGCAGGAGATGCAGTAGTAATGAGAGACACCAGCTAGCCATCTGCACTGGCAACATCTGTGGGTTTGAACTTCAAAGTGGTGCCAGTGTTTCATGGATCACCTTTTCAGGGAGCCGTTAGGAAAGGAAGCAGCCCTTGACTTGGTCCCAAGTAGTGCACAGAATCTGCCTCAAAACACGGTTTTCTAATTCCTGTTGTTGCTCTCTGGAACAGGAGATGGCACATAATTGTATTCAACATCCTTGCAAGAACAACAAAGCAAAAAAATTATTACAATTGCATCCACTTTCAGAAAGGGAAACTACATTAAAAAAAAAGGAAGTATGTTAAAAAGAAACTAAAAGCTAAGAGAGTTTAATATTTACACTCAGTGTATTTGACATATAGCTTTAGGTCATGGTATTTGAATCACAGAACAAATGCATGCCAAGAAGGACTTAAGAAAAGGTAAAAGGAAGCTGATAAGACTAAACAGCAGCATAAAGGAGTTATGAGAAAAAAAGATTGTTTTCAGAAACATGGAATTGTGTCCAAATGATGAACAGAGAAAGGATCCAACTTTTCCACATTATATGCAGAAACACAGCAATGCCGAAAGTACCCAGAGCAACACACAACAAGACCAAAAAGGTGGCAAAAATTCTAATAAATTTGCAAACACAGACTGGTCAAGAAGCCTGTCAACAAGCCTATCAGAAAATCCACAAGCCTTCTAGATGGTCAGAGCTGAAAAGGAAACTCCTTTATCTAGAGCAGCCAGTGGATGGCTGGTTATACCAGGTAGAAGTTATCACAGTAAGGAGCACATTTGAGGATGAGGTCTCATGAGATCCTGAACCAGCCTAACCTGCTTGCTGTCCCCAAAAAGAACAGTCCCTTGTTTGTCTTTTCTTTCACTCTTTCTCACCTCATTCTAGTTAAGCAGTCCCTCTCCCTCTTTTCTGCTGGCTCTTAAGTCTTCTGTTGGATGTGGTTCACCAGGATGGTGAGCTGATAGAGCACCTAGGTCATCCTGATGGAACATTCTCTGAGCCAACCAAGCTTGCTGAAGGAACAGGAAGCTTCCCCAGCAGGATTAATTCAGTAGGCTTACTATCACACCCAGTGCAAAGTAAGAGTAAGGGAGAACGTGCAGCCAAGAAGTGTTGTTGGGATGAGGTGAGGAAGCAACTGAGATGAAAGAGGACCAGGAATTGAGACCATCTTCCTCCCCCCTTCAGGAAGCAAACTGTAAGACTGATGCAGCAGCCTCTGGAACTCTAGAGTCCTCTTTCTAATTATCTGCCAGTTTATTGTTCTGAATTGTCTCAACAAGGGCTCAGATGAGAGCCAGAGGTAATGCAGAGGAAATACAGGGAGTGTGTAGCTGGAAGAAGGGCCATCTGCTTCAGCACAGAGCTGCCAGATCTGCTCAGCCTCAGGTCACCATCACACAATGGATTCAGGTCAGTGTAAGGAGATGTTTTTGACAAAAGAGTTTTCTCCAGACGCCTGTTCGTACCCTTTTGCTGCTCCATCTCCTGTGTCAGCACAAGCTGTGAAGTGGTTGAGGTTAAAGCTGTTATGGCAAAGAAGTCTTTGCTGACCTGCTCTGATTTGGTTGATCATGCAAATGTTTACGCTAGCAACAGTGCTGATACAGCAGCCAAGTCACTGGGTTTGGAGAGAGTGCAGAATGACTCTTCAGGGGCAGTGCCAGTTTAAGGAGTTTACAAAAACCATGGTGTTGGAACATTTTTGTGTATATAAAACTTAAAAATATACTTTCTCATTCCCCTAGCTCCCTCTTATAAATAGTTTGGAATTGTACTCCAATCAACATGGGTTTTGTCTAAAATTTAAAATTTTTATTGCTTTTTTTTTTTTTATAGGCATATGAAGAATTATTTTGGAGCTGCCATATCAAATACCTGCGACAAGTCAGGAGGGACAACTATTGTGTACTAAGAGCAGTGCTTTTTCAGATATTCAGCCAAGGCATTCCTTTTCCATCATGGATGAAGGAGAGAGATATATTGAAGGTAAAATTAATTTCCTAAACAAACATGATTCAGGTAACATTGTACTACAGAAGGAAGCTTTGTTCGATGTCAAAACTGACATGTCTGTTATGGAAGTAGAGGAGAATTTAAAGAGAAGTTTTTCATACACTTTGAACTACACTTCATTGAAAAATTGTCCCTGATCTAAGCATACCAATGTGAATATGAGTCTAAATGGTAAAAAAAAAAAAAAAAAACACAAAAAAAAAAAACCACCCAAAAAGTGGAGGGATAGCTGTTACTGCTGTCCTGCTAGATGTCATTCCCTTAACACAGAAGGATATCTGAATCCTCCTCATCCATACCCATTTGAAGCCAAATGGCTCACTTGGGAGCTGCTGAGCATGTTGCTGGAGCAGCAGGAATCCTGCCCTGGGCTCCAGGAGCTGTAGCAGGAGACAGAAGCAAGGAGGTGGGCAGCTATAGCTGCTACCTTTGTGGGGGCTGTGCAAACTGGAAGGTGTCTGTAATCCTAAATACCTCACTGAATTTGTATGTATTCAGCTTTGCCAGAGATTGGGTTATATATTTTGCTGGCCTTGTTTTTAAAGTTTTAAAAGTTAAAGATTTGGCAGTCAAAGGGAGCCTCTTTCTTAACATTTGAGTTGTTCTGAGGCCCATTTTTTTTGTTGTTTGAACTGTACAACTTAGAGGACAGGACCACATTGTAAATTGTGTGTAGATGAGTTTATATAACTTTATGTTCTACTTCTTGTTATGGTTGTGATTAGCTTTTTTTTTCTTTTTACCCCCCAGCTCCCTGAAAAGCTTTTGTATTCTCAAGGTTGCAACTGGATTCAGCAGTACAGTTTTGGGCCAGAAAGATACACAGGTCCCAATGCCTTTGGCAAATTGCGCAAATGCATGGAGACATTAAAGACAAATGTGAGTACTTAGGAAATGGTTGGGAGGAATAAAAGCACTGAGACATGGGTTGAGACAGAGATAGGGAACTGCATCTGGTTACGTGTTTCCATGGCAGTCGGCTTTCCTCCCAGGTTCAGAGAGTTGAGCTGTTGGGAATCACCTATCCTGCAGGTGAATCCAGCTTTCAGATATCCACTAGGCTAAGTACTCAGGGTGCCCCTGGAAGTTAGGGAGGTCATCCTCCCCACAGCTGTTACTGTGTGGCTAGTTGCCCTTGCTGTCAAGGGGCTCCTGCAGTATCTCATAATTTCAATTAAAAATACAACATGTTCTATGAGATCCTCATGGATTCCCTCCCCAGATGGGAGAGAACAAACAAACAGTGCATTTTCTTCTCAAACTGTTGTCTTTCCTTTGCTCCCATCTCCATGAAATGTTTTATTTATCCAGTTTTACTATAATTTCTCTCTGTAAGCCGAGGCACTTGATTCCAAAGACCTGTCAGCCTCACTTGCCCCCTCTGCTCCACATAGCCAGATCCCCAACCATGAGTATAACTCTTACTTACACATTTAAAACTTGGAGAGCTGTAGTAGCCCCAAAGCCTTCTGAAACAGATAAAAGAAATTGGCCTGATAAGACCTTGTCCCTTTCTTGAGCTCTTCTGGGGTTTCCACATGTTTGCGGTTGCGTGAGCTCTGGACTGTTCCTGTTTGCTTTGCTACAGTCTCTCCCTAGCACACCACCACCCTCTTCTCCCCATCTTCCTCCTGCCTGGAAGTTGCTCTGCATGCTCTCCTGTGTCACAGCCATCAAGCAAATACTGGTATTTGCTGGACTCCAGTGTTCTGGCCAATTAGGTTGAAACACTTCCCTGAAGGCATCCATTATCCAGTATATCAGACCTTAAACTGTCATTTTTAATTCTACAGTATACCATGGTTCCAGGTTGTCTTACCACAGCCACAACAGCTTTTTTTAGTGGTACACGGTTAAGTTAGTTCCTTCTATACAGCCCTGTGTATATGAGCCACAATTCTGTAGTTTTAAATGCTACTGTTATTATTATCAGAGTAATTGTTGCCTAAAGAAAAACAATAAACCATAAATAGACTTATTTAGCTCTAGAAACAAAGCATTAGTAATAAAAAGAGGGAATTAAAGTAGAGATCTGGTCTTTGTCCCTTGCCTGCACCCTTGCTGTGCTGCAGTGACAACTGCCTGTCTTCTTGAGATGTGCCTGGTGGTTCTTGTGTGCAGTTCTCATTTTGTTCTAGGCACTCTTTGCATTTGCCAGTGTTAGGTTGTTTTGACTTTTTTTTTTTAACTTGTTGTAGTTCTTTTGATATTGGTCCCTTAGTATGAAGTATTTAAACTGGATGTTTGTACAGAAAAAAGTTTCAAGTCAGCACAGTGAACAAATCCATACAATTAAGAGGTTGTTGCAGAGCAGCTGTATGATCCATTATGCTGTTATCAGGCATAAGGCCTAGCTTCCAACTTAATTTTATTTTTCTGAAGATGCTCTTTGGCCAGTGACATGGATTTTTGCCTATTTTCACTAACAGGGTTTTCTGCTGCCTTTCCCAGCTCCATTGTCAGTCAACTTGTGGACTGCTGCCTGCACATGTTGTTGTGCCTGGGCTGTGTTGGTTAATAGGTGCTTTACACTTAGGATGGGCTTTTCACTTATGTAGTAGAGGTCCTCTAGCAATGGTACATTAGTGATTCATCTGCTTGGTCACATTTTTAACCAGTAAGGAAAGTCTTCATGAATGCCTGAGGAGATGGTAGGATCTGTTTCTCAATTTAGTATTTATGGGTAAGTTAGATGTATTGTTTTTTCAGTTGCAATTCACAGTTTATGGCCACTTCAACATATAATTAATACAAGCTCAGAATTAACTGAAATTCATTTGAATCCCAGTCATTGAGCATCATCTCTTACTGTGGTCCCGAAACCCCCCTCAGTTCCAGATGACTTTTTAGCCACTGTGTTCAGGACTGGGTGCTTTAAGCTTTCTTATTTGCTGCCCAGTCTATCATGGTCTCCTGGACAGCCCATTTCTGGGTGTGAGCACTGCCTTTCGAACCTTCTAGAGCAACAGAGAGCTCAGAAGTTCTCGTTATCAGCTGTGAGCAAAAAAAAGACATTCCTACCCTGTTCATGTCCCATGTATGTCTTTGTCTCGTCCCTTCTTGTGCAGCCACCTTACCTTGACTTCATGAAGCAGAACACATTAAATACACACAGATGTGTACAGTTCATAGTACCATTATGGCTTTCCAGTTTGCATAGGTTCCTTTTAATTGACACACTTCCGAATTGGGCTCAGCATCTAAAGAATTCAGGCTAGGGCAACTTTAATGTAAAGGGTGCTATAGAGGAAAATCACTGAATTTTGGAAGCTGGAGTCATCACTTAATCTAACTTTTGCTTATGGCTTAGTGTGTGTGTCTGATGCACCCACACAGATTTCCTGTAACTTTCTGAGGCCCTTTTTGTGGTTACACTCCTTTCAGGCTCTTTAACTGACGGCGATACCTGGATTTTCTACAGTGGCAGTGGGTGGCATTTGTATAGGGGAATTACATTTGCTTTCTCATACACTGTCATTAACATCAAGATGCTTGGAGCTCTCTGTAGCAAATAGGTTCAGCTGGTTAAATGGGAACTGAAATGTGTAAGGCTTCAAATTTCACTGCAGTTCTGAAAGAGCCACCTGCTTATTTGCACCACTGTTTGGCCACAATAATGGTATGGTCTAGGCTGGCAGTTGTTCCTGTTTTGAAATCTTTCATATTAAATAGAATTCTTAATAATTTGATTAATATTCTTCTGTATGCTTTCCAGTGGACTGAAATAAGTGCTACTAAAAATCATGAAGAAAGAGGAAACCTGTGTAATACACTCTTTTCTGATGAGAGCAAGGAGCACAAACTATATGAGGCCATAAAATTCATCATGCTTTATGAAGTTGTCGAAGCCTATGAGCAGATAAAGAACAGGGAAGAAGCCACACATAACCTTTTTAGCCTTCTCCTTGCTCGTGATTCTTCATCTGACCCTTTGAGTTTCATGATGAATCGTCTGAACTCCATAGGTGACTCTATTTGTCTAGACCAGGTAATGATGCGAATGAAAAAAAAAATCACAAAACTGACTCCATCTCTGATGTGATTAGGTGAATGTATCATACATCATCAGTGACAGCTGGCCCAATTTTTTTCTTTGGGGAATGGGGAAGTGGACTGAGGGTAGTCATTTATCTTCCAGGAAAAAAACTGTAATAGAATAAAATGGGGTGGACAGTTTTTTTGCTGGGCCAGAAATAAATGCTGCAAGCTATCAATGAAATACATAGTTTAGCATAATGATACCTTTGATATATAAAATAAATTTAGATTATGCAGATTTGAGCTGTTGCTTCACTTTTCCCATCTGTTCCACCATGCCAAACCCTCTATCATCTTTCTATTTTTTCTCCTCTCTTTGGTTTCTATTAGATCTCAGGTCTGTTAAGAGCAGCTCGTGAGAACTCTTAACTGTTCACCTTTATATATTAAGGTGTTTTTTTTCAATTTTCTATTTAATGAGGAGTTAAGTACTGACATGTAACTTCCACACTGCCACTCTGAAACTAGTGTCACTTTGCAATGGGTGAAATTATTTCTTATAATCAATTTCAGTTATCAAGTCAACTGTTACATGTTGCAGTCATCTTTAGGAGCAGTTTGATTATAACTAGACAAGTTCTGCTCTGTCTGGCTGTGCCCAAGGATATGAGCTTTTTCCAAAGCATTTTTTCAGATGAAGCAATCCTTTGCACAAAGCGTCAATGAAGATGCCAGTCTTCAAGTTTCATATACACGAAGTACAAGGAAATGTATTCCTTTTATTGTTATCTTTCCCTCATGTAGCAAGTGATCGCAAGGTGGCAGGCTTCCCATTTTTCAAGTTGGACTATCTTTTAATAATAGATAGTCCCTTCTTGCTCCCCACTAAGCTGTATGAGCTGGCTTTGGGAGCAGGTTATGTATTGTGTCAGGTGAAAGAGGGATGTTTCTGAAGTGTCGGGCATTAACCAGAATATCCTCTACATGCAAAAGAGCAGTGGAAGGACTGTTGGAACATTGAGAATACCCTCAAACTTTTAATTTTCTGATTCCACTTACAAAAGGGCCCCTTCTAGTCTACTGTTTTGAAGCTAGATGACTTGCCTTAACTTGGATTAACTTTGGTTTAGTTTTCTAAGTCTAGAAATAAATATCTTACAGACTTCTTTCATCTTTAGGTTGAACTGTTTCTTCTTGGATACTTACTTGAAGTAAAGATAAGAGTTTACAGACTGCATAGGTTTAATACTGAGGAATTTCAAGTAAACTATCCAGAAGAATACCGAAGGGAATGGAATGAGATTTCTCTCCTGACCGAGGATGACCGCTACTATCACATCCCCCTTTTCAGAACGTGAAGGACCAGTGACTTTCTTCCTTTGTATAATATAGCAAGTGACCGGTTCCAGTGAGTTAGGTTTCTAATCGGCAGCAGTAAGATTTTGAGAATGCTTGTTAATGATTACAAAATGATTTATGGGTTTATTGTGTAAATATTTTGCTTTCCCATTGCAGCTCAATTCACCATCAGTCAGCCATATATTGCTATACTGTCTGGGGGGGAAAAATGTCATATTTGAGGGTTGTCAGACAGAATAGGTTGGACTGCATGACAAAGGCAAAGGTAATGCTGGGTTTTCTATTGCTAGCCTAAGGGTTTCCTCTGACATCTCTGGATGGGTTAAATGCAAGTTTCTACAGAAATTGCTGCATTTCTCTCCCCTGTCTCTAGCTAGGGAGGAGGAGGCAACTCCTGGGGTCCTACAGTTTATACTCCAGGCTGTTAAACTTGCACTGACTTGGGGCTAACTGGGATGAGAGGATGTAAACTGGGGCCTCTGCATAGCTGCTTCAAATCCCACTTGTCTTCCCCTGTTACTAGAACTCTTCCCTCTAGGGATGGGCAGAGCAAGCAGCTGCAAGCTGTGTACTTCAGACATGAAATTAAGCTGTCTGCACTCAGTGCTGCTATCTGAAGGTGAAGAAGTGTTACACAGCAGGGGAAAAAAAAACAAAACACGCACACAGACACAAGAATACTGTGCCAGATTAATAGAAGATCTGCTTTATAACTGAGGGAGGTACTTTTTCAAAGCTAAAAAGGGTAGTATTAATTAATAATAACATGCAATAGAGTGAGATGCAGTAGCTGCCTGTGTTTTTTGTCAACTTGTATAAGGGCTGATTTCAACATTACCTACCAAGATTTCCTTTGCAGTTCATCTGAGAAAGCTGTGCACAGAATACAGTCACAAACACTGCATGTTCAGAAAATATTAATTTTCTATGCATTATGTGAATTCAGCAGTGTGTGTACATGTTTTATCTTCTGAGTATATAGTAATCTCATTGCATAAGATTTCTATCTTTAGTTTAGACCTCAATTTTTGAAGAATTCTGTTCAGGACAACTAAATGAGATTTACCTTATTATGTGGAATGTTTTGCCCAGTTCTGTTTGCTAAATGAATCAATTGTATTTTGATTATTTCAAAAATTAAGGGACCTTAATTTGAAGAAATTTTAAAATGATACAGCAGATCTAGCAAAATACTTGTGAAAAGCTTACAATCCCATAGGCATACGGTTGCACTGAAGAAAGTGGGATTTAATAAGAAACAAAGCCTCTCCTTTCCTTATTCTAGAGATACAGGGACAGGCAGGTTTCTTTTTTTAATTCCTACAGGAGAAAATACAAGCCAGTAACAAAAATGTGAACAGGGCCAGCAGGAGCTAAAGCAGTTGCTTGAGGTAACTATGTGGTAAGGCTTGGAGTTAACAGAGAGTGCTTGGTTCCTTTGTGTAAAGGAAGGCAATTTTAACCCTTGCAGTCCTTTTTTTTGTATGTACATGTATATATATTTATAAACACAAACACCAGAGTTCTGTATTGTAACAGTTTTGTTTCTTGAAAGTTTTTCTGAGTTCAGTTTTGTTCAATAATTTGTAGCTTTTAACGACGAAGGCTTGATAACCTATAATAATTTCATCTCACCAGAACCTGCTTATCAGATACTTTATTTATTGAAAAGAAACTTTTTTCTCTGAATGAAATAATGTGCTTAGTTTAGATTTGGTTCTGCTCTGCATGGGGAAATGTTATAATGCTTGAAAGTAAGGTATTGCTATTTATTTAGCATCAACAGTAACATTTACAGCCATCAATAAACTTGTCTATATTTTATTATTGTTTTGGTACAAGCAGACATACTAAAAAAAGAGTGTATTTTTGTAGCAGGCTTTTTAATGGTTGGCTTATTATTTATGGTTAGGAATACAAAAACATTACACCTGAAAGCGTATAATTGTCAAAATGTATGTTTTTGTAATCTTGAGCTTATTAATAGCAGGGGATTAATAAAGATCTAACACAGACAGTGGAATTTATCTTGCCAATTTGGATGTTTGCATCTGAACTACGTCACCTTGGGCTCTCTGCCTTGTCAGTGGAAGGCAGTGGCATGCAGTCAGTCAGAGGAGCGGGTCTCTACAAGGGTCTGGTTCCCCTCATTGACTGTAGTGGGAGCTGGCAGTGATTAGTATAAATCTCTGTGCTCTAAACGTTCGAAGTTAGGTGAGATTAATTTTGTCTCAAGCATACAGAACGGACATGCTGAAACAGATCTGCTGGCTTATCAGATGTCAGAGCCAAATCACAACAGGAACCAAAAATGGAATATGAAGAAAGAGGTGAGGATAATTGCAAGTCTTAGAGATAAATGCAGAGAGAACTCTACATAGGATCTTAAGAAACACTGAGACAGGTTTGGGGCTGCACTGAGTTTTAATCAGGTTCTCTGATAATATATTTTATATGTATAAACAAAAAAAATCTATTTTTTACATATAAAGAAATATATGTATGAAAATATGTATGTGTATATATATAAAAGAAAGATACATAAAAAAGAAAATCATCCTGAATAAAGTGCATCTGGAACTCACTGGTACTATGGAAGTGACAGGTGTTGCAGCAAGCAGTGGCACAGACAAGTTTGCTGTACAAATTCAGCAGCACACAGTCAATATCAATTTTTTTTTTTAATCCAGTGTTAAAGGCAGCTGAAGTTTCAAGTCAAGATGTGTTGATTATTTATTACTCCTAGTTTAGCAAGAAAAAGAAAATATACTGAGACCTCAGCAGTAGGTTTGGATTTTTCCCCAAACTTGAAAATGTGTTAAGAATATAGCAGAGTGGCTGAAGAAATTTATATTTCAGTATAATGGAGAAAAAAGGTGTTGGTTTTGAATGTCATCTATTTTTAAAATTGCATCTCAAAAAAATGTATGACCCACGATCCATATTTCATTTTAACTCCACAGAAAAATACTGGCAATCTCAATTCTTCAACTGAAATGGCTTCTTGTCTAGATTGTGGCTATTAAGTTGAACAAAATTAAAAATCATCCAGTGTGGTTGGTTGTTGCCAGTAAGTCTACCTGCTTAAACTCAGGGTATTGAGTATAATGTCTAGGAAATAATTTTCAAATGCAGTTTGTAATTTGCCTAAAGCACAGATTTAAAGAATATGTATGATTTCAAATTAGTTTAGTTGTCCAGAAGAATAAAGATACATCCATTCTCTTCAAAGCACAGAAAAGACCTATGGGGTTTTTTTTCCAGTAATTGGACTTCCCTGTCCCCCTGTACTTCAGCAATATTACAGCAGTCTGACCCGTGGCCCTGTTATGTTAGTGCCATTACAGTACTAATGTTTTTCAAGTCTCCGTTTTTCTGATTCTGAAGAAAAGGTAAAGTTGGGATTTTGGTGCCAGAGAAGCCTTGGTCCTTCCCTCTTGGCTTGTGAGGTTTTTGGGGTGCTTAAAGACTTCCCTGGAAGGAGAGAAACTTTTATTTCAGGCCTGGTTTCGTGAGAGGGCAAAGTTTGCATCTTTGAGGATTCCTTGAAATCATTTGGGAGAGGACCCTGGCATGGCAGCTGGGCTGGAGGGGTGCCACTACCTCAGTGACAATCCTTCCTGTTCACAGCATCCTTCTTGGTGTTACTCCAACCCTGATCTTGGCCAGGGATGGAGCAGGCAGTCTTGCAGAGTCTTTTTTATGAGATTTGTCAGAAAATTCCCAAGGAAACCCACGTGCCCCAGAGACAGGAGGTGATGTAGCTAGTGGGCACAAGAGGTAAGTGCAGACTCCCTGGGGCTTGGCTGATATGCACCTCTCTTCATGAACTACAGAGCTTTGTGTCAGCCAGGGCTAGTGGGTGAGAAGAATGGCTGGGGCATTGCTGGGACCTGTGGTATGGGGTTGTGCATGCTGGTCAATGCTGGTGGGAGGGAAAAATGGAAAACATGAAAAATAGGGTGGGTCTTGGATGCTTTCACCTTCCAACATATCCCGATTTTGCACAATTCAAAGGTTAATGCCTTGGGAGGGCATTAACCAAAACATCTTCCTCTTTAGTGAAGCATTTGGCCATAGATCCAACACTTTATTGAAAGGTAGAGGCAACTAATTTGAATGCACTTGTGCAAGTTTGTGTGCAACTGCAGAAGTCTGTAACACATATAGCAGCTAATAACTCCCTGTGTCCTTTAAGCCAAGTCCTCATGTTCAGCAGAGCATTTTCCCCATAGTAATAATTTTCAGGATTGTGACACACTGCATCTTACAAATGTTGCAAATGTTCAGCTGTTGAGTTTCAGCTGACACATTTAGCATTTAGCAATGAAGGATTTTGTGTTCTTTTTACCTATCCAGTAGAGGGCTTCCAAGCATCAGAAAATGTAGTTCAGTAAGCTCAGTATCGCTGGCAATTCTTTGATTGTTATGCTTGCCCAGATGATAGTGGTAAGTTGGCCCCAGCCAACAGCCAAGCACCCACACAGCTGCTCAGTCACTCCTCCAGCAGCATGGGAGTGAAAATGGGAAGAACAGGAGCAAGAAAGCTTTAAGGTCACAATAATGACAGGGAAGTCACCACACACTGTCATGGGCAAAACAGCCTCAACTTGGAGAATTTAACTTAATTTGTTGCCAATTAGCATAAATATTTCGTTACCGATTTGAATATTGGGAAACAAAAAAAGACCAACGTTAAAACACTTAGTGGAAAAAACAGCCCTCCTCCCTTTCAGCTTCCCTCCAGACTCCTCTCTTCCCCCTTGTTATCACCACAGGTCACACTCAGTCTCTTCAGTGAGCTAACAAGCAGCATGAGGGGGTTGCAGTCGGGATATAGTGATTTCACTCTGCCCATCCTTGTTTCTCACTCCTTTCCCATGCTCCCGTGTGAGTCTTTCCCAGGCTGCAGTCAACCCCTTCAAGGGTGTACCTGCTCCAATGTTGGCTTGGGATAAGGAAGTTCTAAAACCCTCGTTAAGTTACATGTTAATTGCCAATTTTATAAAAGTCTATTCAGTTTAATACAGCTTCTATCCATGCTACTGAAAGAAGAAAAAAGTATATGTTTTTGTGTCTTCCTTTGCTTCCTTAATATCATATCACATGCACCTGTATTTCTACAGGACGTGGATTATAATTGAGCAAAAGGGTCTGGAGGAAGGGGCTCAGAAGGTAAGGGTTCAAAATCAATCCTGCATGTGAAAAATGGTATTAGCAAGGTTTGTCTTGCTTTCCTTAATAACATCTTTAGAACTACACAAGCACGGAGGAGGAACAGTGAGTTCTTGAGTTCTTGCAGACTGTAAAAGGAGATCATGAGTGTTAGAAAAGAGACGGAGTGGTTCTGGACCTAACACAGGAGATACATGGGAGCTCAAGTGGTGACCAAATGGTGAAGAAAAGCCAGACAGGTTGGTAGCAGTGTGAGGAAGAAGGTATGGAAGAGACATGACTACCAGAGGTGAGCAAGGTCATGGATACTTTCTGTGAGCTGCCAGTCTGTGACTGGAGATGGGAAAATTTTCCACTGTAATACCCACAGAAGCTGTACTTGCAGCTCTTCTTGTTTTCTGCTCCCTAAAACACATGACACATGAATAGATTATGCCCTCAGTAATTTAAGCTTCTCTCAACCACCCTTTCGAAGTAGAGGACTTCATTGCTGTGCCTGTTCTCCAGGAGTGTAGAGGTGT